TGTGTGTGTGTGTGTGTGTGTGTGTAGGTGACCTGTTCAATTCAGTTATAGTTTTACGGCACTTGCAATAGAATTATATCATACTAGTGCTGGCGAAAATAGGAGGTGTTGCTAGAGAGTGACGTACATGGAAAAGGAGGAGAGATAAGATGATAGATGGCAGTGGCATCAGATTAGGGTAGCAGATAAGGTGGTGCATACTTGGGAAGTGAGCAAATGGGCAATAGACTTACTAGCTACTATTAAGATTTCTACAGAAAGTCAATCTGCAGGATATCCCGTAATCCACACCTCTAAATATCCACTACTGTTTCTAGATGAAAACGCATAAAATCTGCAATAAAGTGAAACAATACTAACAACTCACTATGCTCACAATCTTAGAAGATTTAAATATTTCTAATATCTTCGCGCAGCACCAGGACTTGCTACACAATCGAGGGAGACAACATTTTCGATACCCATTCTTAATTGAGTTACCGTAGACTCTACTTGTGTAGTAGATAGGCGAGTGGAATCTTGGATCAAATTTTAAGCTTGCACCAAAAGGATGCTGTGAAGAGCAGTTTCATGCACCTTTCTTCTTGTGCGGGAAGAACGATAGCTAGATTTTTCTACAGTCACAAAAATAACTTTGGTGCAAAGATTTTGCTTGTTCCCAGCGGACACTACCGCAAGCGGTTCGACGAGCATAAACCATCCTCGTCGTCTGTCTGTTCACTGGCGCAGCCAGCGGGTGACGGATCGCAAGGACGTGGTAGACCTAATGTAGATCTAGAGCACTGACTGGTTTAGAACAATTAGAAAAATGGGGGAGGGGGGGGGGCGTGAAGGCCAGGGTTAGGTGGAGCGCCTGCACCAATTGCACCAATGGCGCCCCGCCACTGATAGATGGTCGATGGGGATGAAAGATTAACTCATTGAAGACGCAAATCCTGCTCATTCGAATGCTTGCAAAAAACTTAACTTTAGTTATATCCATACACATTTTCCAGTTCAGTTTTCTTTTTCTGAAACTTACAAAGGCAAGGAACAACATTTATATGACTATGAAATGTCCATTGTTGTGTTTCTGGTTTGTGTATGTGGGCTTGACGTGTGCCACAACATTGACTTCGATCTGTTTTTGGTCGGACAAATGTGTCTGACTCGTCTTAAAGAGTTAAACCACCCCAGGACGCCTGCCAATCTCCCTCCTCCCGGTCATGAACTAACATAAGAATAGACGGGACACCAATAATACGATGAAGTAAGAAGGGTGTGTGCGCACGTGCGTGTGTGTGTGTGTGTGTGTGTGTGTGTGTGTGTGTGTGTGTGTGC